CTTGCAAAGCAGGTGCCGGAAACACAGAGCTAAATCCCCGGCCCTATTTTTGGTGTTGGGAGACAAGGTCTTGCTATGCAGTTCAGATTGGCCTTGAACTCATTATGTATCCCATGCTGACCTCAAACCCATGGCGATCCTCCTGCCTCAGCCTCCAGGTGCTGGGAATTACCTCGCCTGGTGCATGCAGAGTTTTATTAAGATGTTTTTCTGTACCTATGAAGGCTGTGGGTTTCCCCTCCTTTTACCAGTTAGTAAACCACACATATTTCCTGGGGTCAATCTACCTGGACCCGACACGCTGATCAGTCACTACTACTCTGAGAGGAGAGTGCGCTAGACTCATCCCTGTCCTCTCATAGGCTCGCTTGCACCTTTGCTCATAGGTAAGGACAGATAGTACTCTCCTCCTCAGCTTGCTCTGATCAGGTTTCCCAGCTATTTCCTGCATTGTTGGGACCAGCTGGACATGCCCCACCACAGTCTACTCCTGATTTCATGCTTCCATTTGTCGTTTTAATTTTCTTCCAGTGTGGAACTCAGGGCCCTGCATACACTAAGCTAGCACTCTACTACAGAGATGCATCCCTGCCCTTCTGAAACAGGGCTGAGATGAAATATCCAGGAAGACCCCTAACTTGAAATCTTCCTGCCTGTGTCTGAGCTGCAGGTGTGGACCACAACCATTGGACTGATATTTTTTTTAAAGTGGCTCACTATGCAGTTCAGGATGGTCTTGATCTTGAACTTCGTAACCCAGGCTGGCCTTAAACTTGTGGCAATTCTCCTGCCTCAGCCTCCTGAGTGCTGGGATTACAGGCATGTGCCACTAGGCCTGGCTTAGAATCAGGGTCTCTGTACTAAGCTACACCTCTAGCCCTTTCTTTTTTCTTTTCTATTTGTATCAATTTATTAAATGAACATTTCAAATCTATGTAATAAATACCAGTCATTATTGTTGTGACTATATTCACAAATTAGGGACATTTTGCTTCTAGCGGTGTGAATAAAATCCATCTCACCTGTACTTTTTAGTACTTCATACCTCAAAATTCCAACAAAGCTAGCTCTTAAGATAAGGTCTTGCTAGGTCACTACATTGGCCAGGTTGGGCTCAAATTCTGGTCCCTCTTGGCTCAGCCTCCCGTAGTGCCAGGATTAGAGGTATGTGCTACCACACCTGCCTAGGTTTTAGTTTGAAAATGAAGGCTGAAAGCTGGGAGCAATGGCACACAACCACAGCCCCACTTTCTTGGAAGGATAAGGTGGTTACTCGAGGCCACAAATTCGAGACCAACTTGGGCAGCATGCAAATCCAACCCTGTCTCAAATTAAAAAAAAAAGCTGACTGCCGTCACAGAATGTGGTCCTGATGAACACTTTTACGTGCCCACTGGAACTGTCAGGTTTCACAGCTGTTCTTGGTTTGAAAAGGACTGAGGCTCATGTACAGATAATTGCATTCTCTGAGGAGTCTGCAGGGCCTTCCCCACTCTGACCTCTCCTTTCACCTGGGGGTGTGTTGTGCATGATGTCCCTGCAGCTGGAGTGGACCGGAGTGTAGCTGGGGCTGCCTTCTCATGGTTCATGCTGGACTTACCCAGTAACTTTTCCTGGTTCCTTACTGCCACTCTGCCATTATGTTCTGAAGGTGTTTCTTACATACTTGTGGCTGAAGTAAAAAAGAAAAAAAACAAAACCCATACTGCTCTCTCACTTTGAACTGGGGAGTCTTGCTTGATTATATCATTGCGATTGCCAATAGATGTGGGATTATTTCTACTACTTCATTTTATCATCTTTACTTATCATTCTGGTTTTCTCCCAGCCTTTAGTGCCTTTTATTAAGTAGGGAAAGAGTCCCCCCACCGCTTCTTTTCAACTGATGTTTATATGGAAGAGTTGCAAACTATTTCTATTCTCTGAATAGCGACTCCTGGATTTTTAACATTCACAGTTACCATTCTACAGTCTAAAGTTATTACATTTTTTTATCCAGGGCCCGGGATTTAGCTCAGGGGTGCCACCATCTGCCTCACAAGCACAAAGTCCCAAGTTCAATCTCTGATACAAAAAAAAAAAAAAAATTTTTTTTCTCTTTCTTATACATAATTTAAGGAATTTTGAATGCATTAACTCTGATCCTGGATTATGAGCTGATTTCCATTATGGAAATTATTAGTTTCTTCTTGTATCCCCCCTATGTAAATCATCATCACTAACTGACATCACCAAAGCTTACTTAGATTTCACAACTTATTTTTTAATTTCTTTGGTCACCTTTGCTGTTTGAATACTAAACCTGTCTTTTGAGTTCAATTTCCACCTGTAGAAAAATTACCCTTCTGTATTTATGTCTGCAAGAATCCATATCGTAAACTGTTACCCTGGGACTGGAAGCAAGTTCAGCCATACTTGCTCTGGGGTCACTGTTGCATTCTGGGCAGACTCTGGGGCTGCTGTGGCTTCCCTGCAGGCCCCTGAGCTGCCAGCAGCTGTTACAAGTTCAGGGCTGCTTCCTTTTGCTATGGTTACAGCAAAGATTTCTTCTTTCTCACTTTGGAACTCTGAAAACTGTCAGTGATGTGCCTAGTGAGTTAGACATTTTGGAATTTCGTGTAGCACATCAATTCTGGAAAATCCTCAGTTTTCTTCAAATACTGCTTTATTCTGGCTATACCTTTCTTCTGGATCTTGAGACTGTGCTGGATGGAATCTGCTCAATCACTCTTCCCCACTTCTCTCTGCAGCTGGGTTACTATGTGTTGCTTCCTATGTAGACTGTTTACATTTCAATGATCAGGTTTTTCCTTTCCTGAAGGTCTCTCTGTCCCAGTGTCCTTAGCAAACCAATGCAGAGTTCCACAGTAACCATTTTCTCTTTTGGGAGGCTGCCCCAACTAACATTCTTCACAAGCACAGCTTATAAACTGTCCAGGTGCAGTGGAAGGGGATGACTAACTCAGGTACATTTTTTTTCTTCCAGTTTATATGCAAATGGCTCCAAAATGGGACTATGATCCAATGTCTCATTCATTCTGATGCTAATTTGAAGGGTGTGCTGCTACTCTGTGCCCACATGAGTTACTTCTCACTATCCTTAAGAAATGAAAACCACACTATGTGCCTCAGAAGGGTAACATTCTGTAAGAGACAACTTATATCAACAATTAATTGCAACTCTTACCTCTAAGAATCCAGGACCTAAAAATATCACATTGCTAGTTTGTTCCTTTAAGTAAGATATTTGTACTAAATCCTTTCTGTCCACTAATACAGGAAATGGCAAAGTCCTAAAACTGCAAATATATATTAAACTAGAGGCAACATCCCTCTAAAATGTAACTCACATATGATCTGAAATTTCTCTGGACTCACCACTTAGCTCTAGGAGATCACAACAAGCCTCCCAAATACTGGAGACTGTATTTATTACTCAGGAACAACTCCATATCCCTTTTCAGTCCCTCCTGCCCAGGAACAGAAGGGGATTGGCAGAAAATGAGCAGTTTCTATTTCTAATTTCCAGGATCCTAGAATTAAGTTTCAGGTAACATTGTAAACAACAAAATTAAGAAATCCAAACGTTCATCCCAAAGATTTGTATAAGTGAGTATCTTGCCCTAATATTCTCTTCACAGACTTGGGAGAATTACAAACAAAATTTTAAATTAACACATCTAAAATGAGTCTTTTTATACCTGAATAAAAGTTTTTCTAATCAATTTCATAATATTTTCATGGAAACATCATAGATGATGCAAGGCTCTTAGTGAACAAGGCCTGTGTATCGATGAGGGTGTGTGTGCATGACATCCTAGCAATATAGGAAAACATTTGAGAGGGAAACAATGCCAGAGCAAAGGATAACATGAAAGCCTCTAGTTTCTGCTAGAAAAGAACCTGCAAATGGAAAGAGTCAAAAGAGGTCAAGAGGATTGCCTGTAACCAGGAGCCGCATAAGGTACATAATTTATAACAGAGGATGGAGCCAACCTGGTGATCTGGATGTCTGCACACAAACCCTCAACCCCGCAGGGGTAGTAATGTCTTCTACAATCAAGAGAAGAGCCTGTGTCTCTGGGAGCTTTTCTAAATACATCCCTTACAAATCTTTCTTTAAGAACGAAAGGCGTTGCGGCTATTTTGTGTTCAAACTGGGTACCACCCCCCAAAACACCAGGGCCGGAGAGTTTCTCACGCCGCCGGGTGAGCACGTTGGAGGCCTAAACAGCCAAACCCGAGGCAGCACCAGACCCCAGCGCTCCCTCCGTGCAGCCCTCCCTCACGTTATGTAACAGCCCCTCTACGGCGAGGCCTCCCGCGCCAATCAGGGCCCCTACCGCTGCCGGGCAGCGTCACCACACAGCATTTCTCGGACTGGTTCCAGTTAGGCGAGATCTCTCAGGAGTGACCCGCTGTTCGGGGACCGGCGACGCCCGCCCCCGCCCTGGGTTCCTCCAGGACTCTTCCCGCGCGGGGTCCAACTCAGGAGTACCGCCCGCCCGCCCGGCCCCGCGCGTCCCCCCGACGGCGGGAGCCGCACTCACTGTTGTACTGCACCCCCTTAGCAAAGCGCCTCTGCAGCGCCTGGTTCATGGACTGAAGTCCGGCGGGGATGTTCTTGTCCCGGCCCGGGGCCTGCTCCGACCCCACTAGCTTCTTCAGCGCGGAGAACATCTTCCC